CCCAAAGCTTAAGTGACTCCACTAAACAATGAATCGAGGGAGCAAACAACCTGAGTGACTGGCCTTCATTACCACAGAATGTTTCCAAAGTAACTGGGCATGTTTAATTATGTTCATTTAATGTGACATACCATCCAAGAAGAGGACAGTACCTAGTAGGTTGGGTTAATGGATATTAAGTACTCAAAGTTTTAACATTTGAAAGAAAATTAATCATTCAAATATATGCCCTTAGTTTACAGATCTCTGTTTTTCTAGGTGAATGTTCTAAAGCAATTTATGCAGCCTCTAAACTACACAGGCTCTAAAACTGCCTACTTATGGTGAAGGTCCAATTAAAGGGCCCAACTAACCCTACTAAAACCTGCTTGAAAAAAACCTCCACTTGCCTCATTCTCTATGCTTAGAACTGTGCTGAGTACACTAGAAAATACAAGGAAACACAAAGGACTCTGCTTGACCTTGAGAAACAACACTGCCTGGGGGGAAAACAGTGAAAAGAAGAGACGCTGGGTGGAGTTCTGGCTTTGCCACTGAATGTGGCCACATGAATGTGAGCCCTAGCTTTTTCCAGTGGTAAAATGGGCTGAACAGTATACCAGCTGTCCTATAGCAATTTGAAAATAAATTATGATAAAAGAGAAAATACTTTGAAACTCAAAAAAAAGATCTTAATATGTAAGACACAATAATAAATCATATTCACGGGACAACTAGAGAACAGAAGGGAACCTAGAAGTATACTGTGTATCATAATATAATGCAGAATTTCTCAAAGTTAATTCACACAACTCTAATTCTGTGAGATGTTTATAAATGTTCCTCAAAAAAGAAGAATCCATGGCCAAGTAGCATAGGAAGCACAGGGCTTAATGATTTTTCTATTATTAGTACTACCATTTCCATTAGGCAACTTTCAGTAACAGTCAGTCACAGTGCTAAGGATTTTTCTATGGAACATGTCATTTAACCTCGCAACAACTTTATAGATATTATTATTATCCCTGTTTTACAAAAGGCGAAACTGAGGCAGAAGACATTATATAACTTTCCAAAGATCATACAGCTAGTGAGTGGCAGATGGAGGATTCAAACTCTGAGCCCCAAACTTAACCACAACGCATGCTGTTCTTTACTTTCTCAAAGTTTTTGAAATTAACTGTGAATCTCTCAGAAGGGAATAGAACATGTGTCTTTCCTGAATTTATTTTTTTAGAGCAACTTGTAGCACTTTGGGAAATGGAGCAATAATGAAAGTGCATTCATTCCCTTTTCCTAAATTGTTATTCTTCCTAGGCTTGGGCTATACTTTAGTCTAAGGTATTTCCTTTGTGATCCCTTTCACCCAAATTTGTAATCCAAGAAATACCAACTTAAAATTACCTGTCTAGGTCACTATCACAATACAGAGAATAGCTCAACGGGGGGTTACACACAGAGCCTACATTTGGTTTAACTGTCTGGGCCCAGAATTTCATATTGTATAACCAGGCAGAACATCTAAACTTAAAGGATGACAATGGGATCAACCATTAAATAATATATACTGCAGTTACACATGATATATCCCTTGAAATTCACAACATCCCATCAAGTAGAGCAGATAAGACTGCAATATTAAACTTTTGTTTTGCATTTATTAGCTTTATTATACTTTATAAGAAAAAAATTAAATAGGCCCATTAGGCAGTTTTGTTATCAATGAGTGGATTTTCCAATATTTTCTTCATCTAGTTTATGTAGCATAGCCTGTAATGTAATCATTTTGTTTGAAAAATCACAATTTTTATAGTCAACACCATTAAGGTAAACTTAGTGTAGGAGAAAGTCAATCATAACACATCAAACACTTAGTTTTATAGAGACTTCAGTAAAGTGGATTTTCATTTCTTGAGGATCATACCATTTCTTAGTGAGGAACTAAAAATCACAGATATAAGAACAACACAAACTGAAGCCCAGGCAGAAATGAAGGCAATGACAAGCGGTTAAGCAATTCGGTATCTTCATGTTCTGTGCCCTTAAGAATCACCTAGGCAATAAGATAAATGAAATTTCTTCTTTTTTAAAGAAATCTACTATATAAAATAGACTACTAAAATGATCATGATACTGCCACTCACCCTCCATAACAACCACTGGCAAAAACATAATCAGTCTTACAAAACACACATTCAGCATTGGCAATGGTGGCTAAACAAACTCTTGGGATAAGTTGCTAATGTCACCACAGCATTCTAGCAAATTAAAGAACTTGTGCTAAGGATGTGCAGGAGGATGTTCCCTTGGATATTCCAGTCGTAGAAGTCCAAGCCATGCTTCTTAGCTAAAAACATTAACTTGGCAAATGGGGAGTTTAATGGGTACAGAGTTTCAGATTTGCAAGATGAAAAGAGATCTGCAAATGGAGGGTGTCAATAGCTGCACCACGACGTGAACGTACTTTATGCCACTGAATTCCAGACTAAAAATTGGCTGAGGTGGTAAATTTTATGTTATGTATATTTTACCACAATTAAAAATAATAACTAGGGGCTGGCCCCGTGGCCGAGTGGTTAAGTTTGTGCACTCCGCTGCAGGCGGCCCAGTGTTTCGTTGGTTCGAATCCTGGGCACGGACATGGCACTGCTCATCAAACCACGCTGAGGCAGCATCCCACATACCACAACTAGAAGGACCCACAATGAAGAATATACAACTATATACCGGGGGGCTTTGGGGAGAAAAAGGAAAAAATAAAATCTTTAAAAAAAAAATAAAATAATAACTAAAAAAGCAACACTAACATAATTTTATGCTGTAATTTTTCCTTACTGGATGGGCATGTTACTTCCACTTCTCTGTATTCTCCCTCCTTTTTTTTAAAATAAACATGTTTTAAGGTAAAAGATTAGAATTTTAACATCTAGGATATTATTTCTAATAAAAATTATCTGCTGGGGTTTGGTGGTCTTACGTTTTCTTTCTTCTAGAATAAACCAAGACAGTAAATTCACAATAGGCCTTCAATCAAAAAATACAAATATGCTTGAAAGTTAAAAATTTGGTGAAACGGCACAAATAAGAAGTAGGTTAGGAGTCTGAAGAAATATGTTTGCATCCCATTTGAAGCCAATAAAAGGAATCCAAAGAGCTGCTAGAAATCTTTCCTATTTTATTATATCTGGCTATCTGCATAAAAGCATTAAGAGAGGGCGCTGGCCCGATGTAATAGTGGTTAAGTTTGCACACTCCAATTTGGCAGCCCAGACCCCGTGGGGACCCACACACTGCCCATGAAGCTATGCTGTAGAGGTGTCCCACATACAAAATAGAGGAAGATTGACATGGATGTTGGCTCAGGGACAATCTTCCTCAACCAAAAAAAAGAAGATCGGCAACAGATGTTAGCTCAGGGCAAATCTGCCTCACCAAAAAAAAAAGCATTAAGAGGAAGAAAGGTTGAGGCTTTGAAAACTGCTCCCTCCAGGGAACTCAAGAGAAGCAAATCAGAGTATACATGCTCCTTTTTCTTTCCTTTCTAAGGGTACCTGAACCCAAGAACCTTAAGAACAGGGTAAAAATTCAAGTTAGGTAAGAGTAAGGAGGAGAAGACTAGGATGAAGAGATGTTATTTATGCACTCCTGGGGGCTGCATGGGAAGGAATGTTGGTAGGACCTAGGGAATGACAATAGCAGCCTCAAAGTCATTAGACACATTAGACCACAAACATTTTAAGGGTAAGACCCAAGGACTGTGCAAGAAATACGTTATTATTTAATTCTCTGAATTAGCGCAGTGGAAGCACTCAACTTTCAGACAAGCTATTCACAATAATCAGTCATCTGTAGAAAGAAATAATCCAAATATGTAAACACAAGTTCTTAAAGGACTACATTCAGGAGAAAGGACTCACACCCTGGTTCTGCCCTGGGTAGGGGACTGATCAGATGAGCCTGAAGGAGGTTCCAACCCTGAGAAATCTAATTCTATGCCAAGGCTGCATCTGTGTGTGGAGGATGCTCTGCGATTTTAGGATATGACCCTTCATGGTCATAGGGCAACAGGGCAATTTTTACCTGTATTCATGTGGTTAGTAAGAACTTAAAATCCTAAGAACATTAGTAACTAATTAGAAAATAAATTATTTTACAACTTTGAAAATACATATTAATATCAATGTTAAAATATCTAAGGTAAAAACACAATCATAATGTGATGCAGGGTTAGCGTATATATGGAAAACAGCTCTCTGAGGAAAAGCTTTATTATTCCCTCAGGGCTTTCTTACAGAGTATAGATTTTTTAATTCCTAGTGGAATATTTTTCATACACCACTGCAGACTATTAAGTACTAGATATTACATTATGTAGTTTAAACTTTGCATGACTCCATGAGAAAGACTTCCCTGTCGAGAGAACTATTTTTTACGGTTAGCATTTTTTAATGTGAAAATGAACACTCCTTTAGGGTAAGATCACTGCAACTGGAATTTGGGAGAATCTTATAACTTAACATATTCATCAATGTGTAGACATTCTCTCAGGGGAGTAGGGTGAAGAGAGAAGGAAATACAACAGGATGAAGGCTTTTTAATAACTTATAGTGTTGACACAGGGCAAAGCAATGGTATTTATCAGGTTTGTCTTTCAGTGGGCATAGCTGTAAACAGGCAGGGGACTAGCATAGGGTGCTGGCAAGTTAAAAAAATAATAATGGTGTTAAAGGGCGAAGGAAACAAATGCATTAAACTTCAGGCCAGTTAAAGGTACACTTGCTAATGGTGGACTATTAACTGCTCCCCCAGGAGAGATGCAGACTCAAAAATATTAAAAAAGCAATATAAATGCACTTTTCCAAGCAATTCCTGAGAAAATAGATGCCTTGCAGAATTTTGGAATCAAAAGTAGAAATAAAATCTAAGTGTTTGTGGTCATTTAAAAATCTCTGCCACAAAGAAGTTCGATACCCACATTTGGCAAAAGTGGATAGAAAGTTTAAACAAAATTGACTACTCACTTGTAGACTGTGCCTCCGTTGCCATGACCAAGAGTGTCTCGATACCGTATGTCTTGTTCATTCATCTCCACAAGAAAGAAAGAAAAACAAAAAGGGTGTCATGCTGTGGATGGAAATGTCAAGGAAAAGCAACTCTGGGCCATAAACAACAAGCAGTCTGGGTCATTTCAAGTTCAGCTGCAAGAACGAGAAGATCAATACAACATTTGCTGTCCAATTTATAAAAGACGATACCAAGGGACAAAGTGATGGAAAGTTTAATGACAATTTGTTTGCCTGGGTCATTTCATTAAAGTTTGATAAAAGGTGTCAAAATGGAATGATATAACATAGCTCAAAAGGGTCAGGTCAGAGATACCGATAAGAACACAGTCTCTAGTACTACACATAACCAAAGCCAAACAGCACTGCACATAACCAAAGCCAAATTTGGAGAGACAAGACACACGGACACACACCCAGTAATCTAACCATGATCTGTAAATAAATCAGCCCCCGAAAACTCCTCAGGTGACCCTACAATTAACATTAAACAAACTAACTGAATGATGTTAATGATCTTCCTAGAGTGGATATAGCTTTTCTTTGGAAATGATAAATTAGTATACATCAATAACTGGGTAGAAATTATATTATGCTGATGGAAAAGTGCCAAATCAATGTACCTTAAAATGCACATATAGTCAAATATTATAATACATAAAGGGAAAACATAAGCATGTGATTTTTATAAAGTCATTTTCATAATTTAATATATAAAACAGCATACACGTTTTCCCAGGTTCTATAAAACTGTTATACCACAAATACTAGTCTCATTTGTATTGTGAATAGTTGTGAATTATTTTAGCACCCACAAAATAATGTTTTAAGAGTTTTAAGAACTCCCTAAATAATTATTTATCAAATGACTTGAAGACTACTCAGATTATATTTGATGCATTCACTAATTTTCTACATACTGGTCCAGTTGCTTAAAAATTAACTGCCAACTTTATTCACTAAGTGGATTCAATAAAGGCGTTATTTTCCATACAGCTAAAGCTTAGGAAAAGCCATACTAAGCCCTGAAAAAAACAATCAATTTCCAGGGAATTGCACTGCCTTGCATGGGCAGAAAATGGATGGAGTTTTTAATTCAATATCACCTGGGAAAAAAATAGTCTGCTTTCAGACCATTATAATAAAGCTTTAAATATTTTGCTCTACTCCAAACTTCCACCGATTGAATAAAGCAAGCCTTCATCTATCAAGGGAAATATTTTTCTTCTATACATTTCTGAGGTTGAAGCTTCAGAGAGCTGTGATAATTAGGAGTATAGTACAGGTAACAGAAACAGCTTCCTTTCCAAGCCGTTTTGCCAATCCCTAAAAGAATATTGACAGATTAATGTGTAAAGGCCAATCCAGCACCCAATTTAATTATAGTACAACCTGATTGATGCAATTTACAATCAGCTAATTACTATATTTAGGGTCAGTAGAGAAATGACAGACAAGTCAAAAATTGGCAACTATTTTCCTATTTGAGCGAAATTCTGTTCTTTGCTACGTTTATATTACTAATATAGAAAAAAAACCATCAAACACATTTTCATTTGTATAAAAGGTGTGGCATGAAGAAAAGAAAAAAACCGCATTATTCTGGACAAATGATAAACTTTAAAACAGCATGAAGAAAAGTGGCACATAAAGTAACTTGAAATGCTAAACTAGCAGAGATGCTATTGGGTTTACTTTGATCTATGGGTATGAAGGAAATAGACACAAATAGTGCTATCTATTTGTGGGTACAAACAGGCTAATTCCTCTAAAACATTTCTCTAGCTAGTCTAAACATGACTCTAACAACCTAATTCATGCCATTAACTTGCCTAACAAGCTGCACCCTCATCATGGCTTGAAGCAAATTTCTAGGAGAGAGAAATTTCACTCACTTGAGTCCACAAATTCTGAATTAGTGGCCCTGGGAATTACAGGTAAGCAGGATGTAGGGAGGGGGCATACAGGACCCAGGCTCTGATGGGGCCACCATCTGCAGTCACATCCCCTCCACCTGCACTACTCGATCACGGCCTTCCAGGTAAAAAGATCAGTAGTTTCCTCTTAGAAAAATACACACATCAAGACACTGATATCATACATTGCAATAATACCCTGAGATAGACCTAGCACCTTGGAGGGGGCCTGATTTTGTGGTATTCTATTGGAGGAAGAAAAGGCAAAGGGGTAGGTACGGCATGTCTCTGAGCAGCTTTAACCTTTATAATCCCAACATCGTAATCTTTTTACCTCTAATACCCACTGGGTTGAAAAGAGAAGTGGAGCAGCCACCCACCCAGCATTCCCAGCACTTCACCCTAACCAGGAGTGGCATGTATCCCAAACAGTCAGGGGACAGGCTGAGAGACCCAGGGGGGCTGGGAGATGTTGTATGGTGTGTGAGTGTGTGTGTGTGTGTGTGTGTCTGTGTGCACTAAGCACTGCGTAAGTAAACTTGAGGATGGAAATTTGGAATCCCTCAGATAATGAGAAAGATTTTAAGTGTCTTATAAAGATAAAAATGGTTCTGAAGAACAAGTTCACTTAAAAAGAGAGTATCGATAAAAAAAGTGGATAAAATGTTTCTGTGTTTTAAAGTTTTATAGACCTTTGCCTGGCCTATAAACTGACTGATAGATTTTTATATTAAAAAATATCAGATTCTTGTTCTTTTTTGCTTATTTGAATTTTCTAATTTTTATATGGTATACAAACATTATTCATGTAAAAAGAGTCTTAACAAGGAAAACTATTAGAGCCAACTTCATGAATTTGTAATCAATTTAGTTGTTTTATCAATATTTTGATAATTTCATTATCTCTGATCAAAATGGGTTACTTTAATTGATCTTAACTATGTAAAAATCATTAAAGAGATCAACAAATGGCTAATAACATTTTTGCCTTTTTAGTTTAGATAAGCATATTAGTTAAACTTTTCAAAAGGAAGGACAGGAACAGTGCTCATTATGACACAAGAGGGCAATTTATAAGCCCACAGAGTACAAACATTTAAATGTTATAGTTGGGATCAGGTATCATAAAAATCACAGAATTTTACAGCATTTTAAGCATTTAGCCCAATTCACTTAGGTGATATAGGTAGTCCATAACAATAGTCAAGGCCAGAACGCAGTCTCTCAGTATACTGCGCTTGCTGCTGTGTCTTAGCAGTCGATCTCGTGTACGTGTGGAGAGACATCCTCCCGTCCAGAGGCCCTGGTCCACAGGCAGGAAAACAATCAACTGAAGGGACTCACAAGTTAAGAGCAATTTCATTAGCTACAATATTTGTTTTTAAGATGAGAAATGTTTTTAAAATCACATAGCTCTTTATATAGAAAAGAGGTGAAATAAAGTCTTTATTCAATAAGGATACCAAAATAATTTTTAAATATAACTCAGTTTCCTAAAAGCAAACAAAAGCCAGAATAATAGACGTGAGGCAAGAGGAAGAAAAAGCCCCAGAATTACAATTACGTGTCAATTGCCAAGACAGAAAATGACCTGGGAGAAATGACTGGCACTGGGCTCTGCTCCAGCTGAAAAAAAGGGGCTGTGAAAGAAATGTAGACATGACAACCCACGGGACGGAAAGGCGTCTGTGTGGGCAGAGGCGGGTGTCATGTGGTTCAGACTTACGTACACAGTCTCATTTAAGTTTTAGTCTTCATGTGGGATCTGAGATAAACCTTAAGAATCTAAGAGTTTTATATACTGGTGATAATATAGTTGTTAAAGCTAATTTTACAGTAGAATATCTATTTTTTCTTCTTCCTTTTATTCCCTAAACACAAAAAGTTCTTCCAAAGGCATGTGAAGTTCTCAAAATAACAACCAAATGTGCAGCAGAATCAGAATTAGTTATAGATCTGTTACTTCTTAGTACATTTATACTTGATTTATCAGGAATAGGAAACACTGTCACCCTCTCCTACAAAATCTAAAAAATAGAAAGAGGAAAAACAACATTAGAGATGCAAAGGCCAAATCGTACATCCTTGGAGCCAATGTGCACTTTTTAAATTCTTTAAATTGTCCCATTCGGCCATTTATAATTAGTTTCAAATCAAGGGTCAATGTTTAACAGATGATACCACACTAAAACTGAAGTGGAAAAAATACATACAGAAAACACATCAGTAGTACTGACTTGTAGCTCTCAATAAAACATGCCAAAAATACCTTATAATTTGTTTTAAGCTGAAAGAAAAAATCCTCCATCCTAAAGCAATAACAGAAAAATAGCGTCCCCATTCCAACCACTAAATGTTAAACTTTTTTAAAAGTGCTTGTTTTAATACAATATTATGAAATTAATGGGAAAAATGAAATGGAATTCAATTACAGATCAGCAAAGAAAGTATTCTTTGTTTATTGTCTGCCTGTGTTAAGAAGAATCAGTACCTATCGCTTATAAATCATTACAATGAAAATGCTCAAATAATCCTTATTTTATATGTAAAGGTCTGACAGAAAGTAGTCCTATCCCTAGACCTTTGCTTCACAAATTGAAGCAATAATGGTTTCAGAAAGCAGTCACACTCTATGAGCAGACAATTGGAGAGATTTAGTAAATCCCACTTTATAGAGCAGAGACTAATCGGAAAACACAAGCCAGTCAAATGTTTCTTATGAACTGTTGACACTATATCAATGCTGAATCAATTGGTGGCATTTACTCTGAGTGACAGAAAAGAAATAAATATTTATATCACATAACCTATATCAATGAACCCAGGCAGAAAGCTATTTCTAACCTGTCAATATTTGATTATCTTGAAGAATCATGTCCCTTTCTTTTAATGATTAATATGAATTCCTTATTAAATCTAAGTGGAGGCTAGTGGAAAGGCAAATCATTATTAATGCTTGAGAGCATAAACCACTAAAATAAAAAACTATGCTCAAGTGTTAAAGTATCGTTAAATGTGACTTACATCTTCCATATCAAGTGGTGTCAGTGTTCAGCCCAGAAATTTATTGACGCCCACAACTGTGCACATTACCTCACTGCAATGCAATCTCGCTCACTCTTTAGTTACCCTATAGCATCAAGGAATTGAGGAATTAGTAGAGGAAGGAGGCACTTTGAAGACTTCCAAAGGTGGGGGGTTTTTGTTTTGTTTGTTTTTGTGAATTTAAAGTAAATATAATAGAGGCTAATCCTTAAAAGAAATAAAATGCCAAACTGTTTAATGTGGGGTTACCACCTTCCCAAGGGAAAACAATAAACAGTCTTTAAGTGTCAAAAATCATTGCCATGACAATCTTCTAGCACAGAGAACCTCATAACTGAGACCACTGAGATATTTACAGTACTAGGTTTGTTATCAAAACATTAGGAACATTTCAGAATGTTTGTTTTTTGCAGTGGAAATAAACTGTTTCTCATCTTTGAAAGAAGAATCTATGACAGGCTATTTTCCATTGCCTAGGTTGAACAAATGTAGTTAAAGCTTCTGAATTTATGTTAATTTTGAAATATATTTTCCAGCTGAAGAACACAAGTGACTCATACATAAATTACAATTAGTAACTAGAATGCAAGCATGTTGAAGATACATAAATATCCTTGGCTCAATATTTCTGCTTTTAGTCAGGCTTTGTTTCATACTGGTTCTGAACACATCCAGGGCACTAGGGGGACATAAATGTGGACTTCAATCTAAACAAATCTTTGGCTGCTTAAAGTTAAAAGTATTAAGTAAATACTACCTAAAATTTTGAGAACCATCAAAATTTTACATACAACACCAGATTCTCTTTAGCTGTACATAGAATATTTAAGGACTAGAATTCATATACTCTGGATGGACGATCAGATGTCAGAACCAGATCGCCTTGCTTTTTCTAACTGTATTCAAGGGACTGTGCGCTAAATAAGCAAGGCTTCCAGAAGCACTACTATACAGTCACCATTTTAAGGTGCACACATTTTAAGGTGTAACTTAGGCCACAAAGTTACAGGTGATATTAAAGGACAAGTGTGAGGACCCAGCTTTGTCTTCTTGACATGCTCCACTACAAGCACTTGATTCATGAAATGCCAATGAGGCTTGGAGAGGTCAGCGTGTGAAGGCACTGAATAAGCATCTGAGATAATTAAGATTTCAGCCTTCGAAACATGGAGGGGAAGTGAACAGCAGTTAAGAAAATCAATAAGAGTCTTTTATTTGCAGTGACACAGATGTCTCAGTCAATAGAGCCTAATAGGCAGGCTTGATCGCAATGGACAGGCGCCTGCCTCCAAGGCTATCAAAGGGCTTCCTCTATAACAAACATTAAAACACATTTATGTTGCTATTGAAGAATCGAGGACCCTGTAGGTAGCTTAATTTACCAGTGTATGTTTAAAAGCACTATACTATTTCAGATGTGTCCATTTACTTGAATCAAAATTAGTGAGAAATAACTGGCCTGCAGGCCTGTTTGTCCCTCACTGGCTAGGATAGGTCATTCAGCTTTCGATAGCCAGTTGACTAGGCAAACCAAGGCCTCCTAAAGCCAAGGATTTTAAATGCCAAAGGTCTGCTGTTACTCTGTTCCCCTAAAAAGACAGTGTTGGTTTCAGGACAAAAGAAGGAGCTAAGGTGAGAAAGTAACAGTTTTTGTTTTTCTCCCCAAAGATAATGAAAGAAACAGTCAGCTCTGGATGCCGGGCCATTTCAACAACCCATGGGTGACACATTTGTTCAGAACTGATTAACTTTTCTTAAACTGAGATGGCAGCAGGGTGTGTGCATGGTACTTCAATCTGCTGGGAGTGAAACCCATTAGCACAGTTTGAAGAACGTGTTGCAAATTGTTCTGCCAATCAAATTAAGCCATGTAATTCATTTATGACAAGGAGAAATTCACAGACTCTTTATCTGTTTATTAAGTTTACGGATTCAAAAACTGGACAGTAATAAGTTACTACTATCCGAAAAATCTTAATGTGCAATGACACCTACCTGGCCATTGGCTAGTATTTTTTTCAGTTCAGCAGAAGACTTCTTTAAGCTGAAAAGGAAAGACATAATTTTCAATGGCATGAGCATCGACACCTTTGAACATCACTGAAAATTCCAGACTAAAATATACCTTTGTTTTAGATGTAGACATGGACAACACTCGTTAATCCTTCTCCTTGTATAAATTTTTTTCAAAAGTAATTGGCCAAATGGCACAGGTATTTTATAATAAAGAGGCTGAAACCCCATTAGTAGTCAAAAGCAATAAAGAAGCCTACAGTCAAAATGAAGCTGGAGTATTGCACAGACTAATTCAGTGAGCTTTTCTTGGCTATTCTGCTGCCTTTGGGTAGCCTTTCAGTGGCTGTTTTACGTAGCCTGTCATCTACTAAATACAAAGTACTTACAATGCACTCTCAGAATGTACACAGCCAACTAAGATTACAGAACTTCAAAAGATAAAATAGTTTAAATCCTGATCTTTTGCTATAGCTAACAGTTACAATTGAGCTTCCTGGGAAGCAAATGTGTAGCAGAAATAAATCCTGGTACTCACTAGCTGTGTGCTCTGGAACAAGTTACTTATTCTCTCTGAACCTCATTTTTCTCTTTCTATAAAATGGGGAAAATATCAACTTTATTGGCTCACCAACAAAAATTAAATATTAAAAAAGCCTAGTATTGCATCTTGCACAGAGCAGGTGTTAAATAAATTTCAGCTGCCTTCTCTTTCCTTTCCTTTCCTACAGGTTTGAGAACCAGCTTCCAAAGTTATTTAAGGAATATGAAAATGTTCTTCTCCGGACACATATGACTATGTAAACATTTATGTGGATGAGTTTAGGGAAAGTGTCCAAGGCTCTGAAGTCCTCCTTTCTTTATAATGAGTTGTACCTGTACGCATCTGCCCAGTTAGTAGAGTGGCGTATAAAATAGTACCTCTTCCCATTAATGTTCTAATTGGAAACTTAAAGCCTGGTAACTCTATTCTTAATTTATCTACTCTAACCCTCTACCCATATACCAAATTAACTCTCCTCCCTTGTGTTAGTTATCTGTGTAGATGTCTTTCTTCCCACTAAACCCTCCCCCAAGACTGGAAGCTCCCTGACAACACAGATCATACCTTACCTCTCTAATTATTCCATTCCCTTCTCACCCTTGAACTTAGCCCAGCGACTTGGCATATGCTGAGTATAAAGTAAATGGTGGTTGCTGTTCTGGTTATTATATGATGGTAACACACACACACACACACACATTCATTTGGTGCCTTTAATAAGTTATATTTGAGAAAATCTCAGACTTAAATTGATCAAACTCACCCTTCCAAATTATAATTATTCTTCTTTCTAAATACTTCTTACACTTCTGCTATGGTCAAATGCAGACTTTGAAGCCTTAGTCCCTACTTTCCCCAGATTTAAATGCCCTCAACCAGGGGGTCTAAACTTTAACAATGTCCTCCCAAGGCTAAGAATTCATGCTCTGAAGTGGCAGTTAAGAATTTTGTAGAATGGGACTAAAGCTGAAACATATGACAAAAAATAAACAACTGCCTAAAATCAGTTCAGTTAAAAAAATAATAGCAGCAGCTACCATTTATTGAGAGATGGCCATGCGCCAGGCACTGTGCTAAATGCCATTACTTACTATCCCGATTTAATCTGTACAATAACCACAACCCTGCTAGGTACAGTTATTCCTAATTTATAAAGGAAACTAAGGTACAGACCTTGCTCAAAGTCAGTCTCTCTCTCTTATACACACACTTTGTTTTTTCTGGGAAACATTTAGATCCTTGTATTCCCACAGACGACACCCAATTTAACAGTCGCAATTATTCTAAAAACAGAAATAACCAAATAACGCCCAGGCAACATTTCTCCATGGATATTCCATTATGTCATACAACTTGAAATAATAACATTTTGATTCATTGCATTTACAAAACACCTTTCATCCAAGAAACAAAACATGATTCCTTAATACAGCTTCATCAATCTTCCTAACACCAGAGGTAGATAGACGGAAAGTTGAATCATCCTAATTTTACAGAAGAAAGCTAAGATGTTCAGGAAAGGCCTTGCCTTGGCAGTGGGACTCGAATTCAGTAATTATGACCTAGGAACACCGTGTGCATTAGTAAGCTCAGTTTGATAAACAGCCATCTACCTAAGACAAAGACCAATTCATGCTTTGAGAGGAAAAGAGGAAAAAGCTGATTTCATTCATTATGCCAATAACTGGCTACCAATTTGGTCTGGTAAAAAAATATATGTATATATCCTGGCAATTTCTTTGTGCTCCAATTCACTCAATACTTAGTTTATTTGCATGGCAACAGTGACTTAAGCTACCCAAAAAATCACTCTTAAAAACATTTTAAAATGTAAATGTGATACAATTACAAACTGGGTATAACACTTTAAGAGGGACATTGAGACATCCAAAGAAGAATAAAAGGGTGAGGGAACTAGAGATACTATCATATCAGAAAAGCTGGGTGAGTTGCGAGAATTTAATTCACAGACCAGACTTAAAGGGAATATACATTTGTTTGCTCGTTCATTCATTCATTCAAGCATTATTGACTGTCTCCTATGTTCTAAGCATCAGGTTGGGAATGGGGAATTCAACAATGAATATGCTATAGTCCTTGCCCTCAAAGGGCACAGAATCTATTGGGGGACAGGGGCGACTACAACACAATGAGCTAACTGCTACAGTAAAAGCAAGCACAGGGACCATGGGAATTCATAGAAAGGGTACCTGGTGTAGACTGGGAGGCTGGTAATAATAATCAGGGATGGTCTTCAGAAGATGATAGTTTTGTTCCTCAAAGATGACCAAGATTAGCCAGACTGAAGGCAAAGGAGGGGTTAAAAGAGGAGGAAAGCAGGAAAGAGGCAGCAGCAGACATGAGAGCCCAGGAGTGAGAGGAAACGTGATCCAACAAGGGCACCATGCGTTCATCAGCAAAGCTGGAATGTCAGGTAGGAAGGGGCAGAGTGGCAGGCCAGGGCTGGTGTGGGCAGAGGACTCACATGTAAGAGGCCACTGCTCACTTGCTTTGGAGGGTACACTCTGTCCTGAAGGTTGTGAAGAGCAGTAAAGGGAGGAATGATGGGCTTAGAACTCGTGTCAGCAAGATCACTCTGGCTGCAGTGCCGAGGAGGGATTGCAACGGGGTGAGACTGGAGGGGGAACTATTAGAAGGCTATAGCAGTCATCTAGAGAGCCTGAACTGCCTTGGCAACAACACGGGTGCTGACAAGTAGACAGACTCTAGAGTGATTCAGAAGGTAGAACCTACAAATGTAGGGACTGACTGGATGCGGGGCTGAGGAGGCCCAGGAAGCAGGTTACCTGGAGTGAGCAACTGGGTGAATGTGGGAGAACTTACTGAGACAGGAAATCTAGGAGAAGATGTGTTTGGAAGGAAGACGATTGGAAGAGCTACCACCTAGAAGAGGGAACAGCCTTGTTCTGAGGGCTAAACTAAATCTTCACGAGTGGGCAGTAAAGGAAGACAAATCTCAGCTCATGAAAAACAATGTTCTAAGGTATAGCTACGTGAAAATGGAAGGGGCTGCCTTAGCCGATAAAGTGCATTCCTGTCACAGGGATGTTCAGGTAGAACCTAGATGACCTTCTGGCAAGGAGCGTGGAGCCCAACATCTAAGGAGAGCAGGATTCGATGGCTGCTTCTCCTTCTCATTCTCCACCCCACAGGCAAAGAGTCTTATAAACACAGAGCTGGCTGTGGCACTCTCCTGCTGAAAGCCATCTAATGGCTTCCCAACAGACTGAGAAGAAAATTCAAACACAAGCCCCTGCACAATCTGGCTCCTGTCTACCTCCTTCTCTCCTATCACTCCTATTGCTCTCCTCCCCTCCCTTCACACCCTCCCACAGTCCAGTACCTCTCCCTTGGCTCCAGCCAAACCGGCCTACCTACAAACACGCTGAGCTCCTTCTCCACCCCAGAGCCTTCACTTATGCTCTCCCTCCCTCTGAAATGCCCTTCTCTGGCTCTCGAAGTGGCTAGGTCCTTCTCATCCTTCAGCCCTAGAGGGAATGTCACTCTTCCCCAGAGAGTCTTTCCTGAGCACCCAGTCTAAATCTAAACATATTCCTGCCTAGTGTTCTCTCTCTTCAAAATCTGCTTGTTTTGCCTTCATAACACAATTATAAAGTAATAACTATTGGTATATTTGGGGTTTTTTTTGTCTGAATGCCTAGTAGATAGCAAGCTCCAGAGGATAAGGACCATACTGTATTCCTGGTGCATAGGACAGCAACTAATGGACAGGAGGCACTCAGTAAATACTTTTGATTACTTATCAACATGGGGCACAGAAAATGGCCAACTTAGGGTAGCACATTACATCACCTGGAGGACTTCTGCAACTTGCATTCTTCCCACAACAGAAATCACTACTGGAGCAAACTACAATTACTATTTGGGAGGCTGTCGCATCCCTAAGGGAAGACGTTGCAACAAAAGGCTGAGAATCACTAGATCAGACAGTCTCTGTCCAACCCAAAGATTTTATAATAGTCTGTGAACAGAAATGATAGTATTGCCAAAACCAAGCTAATCCACTCACGTTTTAAAACCAAATCTGAAAGAACTGAAAAGTTATCCTGCCTTCTTCTCTATCTTACTATCTTTTTCAACTCCATCATGCTTTTTATACCATGATGAACTTTGATTTAAAACACCAGGAAAGTCCTTGTCTTCCTTCAAGGCTCATGGACAGTCTGTCTGAATAACCTCTTTCCGGAAGTAGTGCTAATACTAAACGCCCTGCCCTCTTGGAGCTGAGTGTAACAGGTGACCCTCAGTTCCCGTGCCTCAACTCTGTTGGGCCATGGCGCACACGCCCAACAAGCAGGCAAGGAGAAGCTGCAAAGCACTGCCCGGCAGGGCCAAGCCCTTGAACGAGAACTAAAAGACCTACGCCTTGTGACCACAAGGGAGATGATCCACTGGTGAATAACCAGGCTAACTGTATGTTAAGACAGAATAAATTCTTCAAGAAGGAAACAGACTTTAAGAGTAGAGCGCTCACAGCAGGAAAGCTGGTGGGTAGATATACTGACGCTGTCACGAAGCTCTCAAGGAAGTGACTTTTGGGGAGAGGACAGGAGAGTAAAGAGACATTCAGTGAGAGAGACTTTAAATTACCTACAGTAAAGCCCCTTGGCAAAAGAACCAAGACTCTGGGGTAGGGAGGGTATGGAAGGCGAAGTAGAAGCCTAGACTACATCTCAGCAGATGAAGGGCTATGTAAAGATTGGCTGCTGCTCTAAACCCAGAAGAACCTGGGCACAGAATGGGTTTTCTGGCTCGATGCTGGCTTTTCAGTCACCAACGTGAATATGTACACACGGAGCAATCACTTCACAGTGCCATCTTCAAGTACAGCAATATGATGTTTACTGGCTGAATAACTGAATGTATAACCAAAATGACCTAGAATTCTATCAGCTTAAGCAGGTTATTCCTTCTACTTGAGGATCTTAACAGTCTGGAAGTAAGTTCTCAGGCCTGTCAGAAGAACACTTTCTCAAGTCTTAGGATCCACCCCAGCATAGGGCAATGTTAGCATGAATTAATGAAAATTATCTTCCTTCTATCATAGCTTCAATCTCTTGTATCACCAAAGATACAAAAAGGAGCAACATGGCTGGTCAATTTAAATTTCATCACTTTACTCTCTTTGCTTCTCTCTGACAAAGACGTCAGTGGATAATGACACTGGCAAAAGACGGACAAGCAAGAAAAAAATAATAAGCATTATACAATTTACAAACCACATCATCAAGATATGAAATAGTCAAAGGCACTGAATTTTCCATAGAATTTGGAGACTGAAGGAAAATCATTCCACATGTTTAATTTCATCTTTCTCTATGAGGTCTTTCTCTTCAGTCAATACATAGCTAGAGTTACCTAACTGGTCAAATTTCTTCTTAGCCACGTAAAGTAGTCCCCCCTTATCCCCAGTTTTGCTTTCCACAGTTTCAGTTACCCGCGGTCAACCACAGTCCAAAAATATTAAATGGTAAATCCAGAAGTAAACAATTTATAAGTTTTAAACTGCATACCATTCTGAGTAGAGTGATGAAGTCTCACACCATCCCACTCTATACTGCCCAGGGCATGACTTATCCCTTTGTCCAGCATATCCTCCACCGTACACGCTACCTGCCCATTAGTCACTTAGCAGCCCTCCTGGTTATCAGATCAACTGTCATGGTATCGCAGTGCTTACGTTCAAGTAACCCTTATTTTACTTTATGATGGCCCCAAAGCGAAAGACTAGTGATGCTGACAATTCAGATATGCCAAAGAGAAGCCATAAGGTGCTTCCTTTAAGTGAAAAGGTGAAAGTTCTTGATTTAATAAGAAAAAAAATCGTATGCTGAAGTTGCTAAGAACCACGGTAACTTTTATTACAGTATCCTGTTATTAGTTATTGTTGTTAATCTCCTACTGTGCCTAATTTATAAATTAAACTTGATCACAGGTATGTACACATAGGAAAAAACACAGTGTATATAGGGTTCAGTACTATCCGCAGTTTCAGGCATCCAGTGGGGGTCTTGGAACATATCCCCCGCAGGTAAGTGGGGACTACTATACACATTTTTTTGGCCTTATAGAAAAGAGGTGTCATCCCACAAGCCTCTTCCCCACCCCGACTTTGTAAATGATCGTGCATACGGGCCCCCTTCACTTGTTTGCTCCCACCTATTGCTTGGAAGTGAATCTGAGACTGCTGGGCTGCTGTGTTGAGAAGGTCCAGCCCGGGTATTCACCTACAAGTAAAGAAAGAATCTCGATCAGTCTTGTGTTCTGAGGACACAGTTCTAATTAACCTATAATTTGCCACAAATTTCTCATTCCACTATGAAGGTTAATTAGCTTGTTGCTAGACAGACCCATGGTTGGAGCCTATTCAGTATATAGGTTACAGAACTGTACAACCCTTATATTACATAATACTCTGTTCCTGTCATTATTCAAATACTTAAATAGTGCTGAAAAAAGGAGAGACAAACAGGGAAAAATTTCAATTCTAGAGAAAAAATTCAATTCGCTGTTTTGTTTCATATACAAAACCAGTATGTACAAAAAGGTACATTAAGAATACATCCAGGGATAAACTAACCCACAGACAAAGAGAACAGTTTAGTGGTTACCAGAGGGAAGGGGATTCGGGGCGGGGGGCAAAGGGGTGAAGGGGCACATTTATATGGTGACTGACAAATAAGAAAGTACAACAGAAATTTCACAATGTTATAAATGATTATAACCTCAATTAAAACAAAAGAATACATCCAGGGATTAGTAGTAAATCTCAAGTTGTCATATCCTTCCAGTTCTAAAACCAAGCAGAAAACCGAAGAATGTTTCTTATTCACTGAAAAATAAGGCCCAAGTAATTAATTATAAAATGCTTCCGTCTAATACAATAGCCAGCTTTTCCTTCAAATGTGAAGCCTTAAGCAGAAACCCAGAATTCAAAATTCACAGAACAATAAAAAGACATTAAATAGATATATGTTTCTAGCATAAATATGTCAAAAGAAGAGGGGGGTATTCTGTGTGCAATATGCTTATGTGCTTAATTAATCACAGAAATGAAGTCTATATTTGCACTCAAATAAATCTTTGCGGAGACCAGTACCCAGGATCATCCTGAAGAAAGGGACCAACAAAACAATTCCAAATAACAAAAAATATGGCACCAAAACCCCTGTATCCAAATATATACACATATTAAGCAAATACTAAAGACGAATCCCCCTCCACCTCCCGTTTAAAAAAAAAAAAGGATCGCTTGTCAGAGCTTGAGAAAGTGCAGTTTTATTTGACATTTCAATAAGTGGAACACAGCATTACAAATCCATCTAACTTTACTGAAACAATTATTGAAATTCGTACCTTCAGGCCATGTATGTTCCGTTCCCCAGGAGGCTTGCAGGCTGAAACAGTAATTGACTAAATTGTAGAACACATCAGGGCCATTTACGAATTTGCTCAAAATGAATCGTTTAAAAAGAAATGAGGGTGACACCAAAATTAGCAGAGAGAAATGATTGAAAAGTGGCTCCCAAGACCCAAAGTGGGAATTATGAACCAGGGTTTTTAACTTGCAGGAGTGAGCATTTATAAATGCAAAGAGCTTTCTGACACCACCTCATATAAATTCCAATTTCTGCTTAAAACATATAAAAATCAAGTTAACTCAGCTAAAATGATTATATTCCTTTCATAATTCAAATTTCTGCAATCTTTCCTCACTCTATTACATTGTATATCTGCTATCACTTAAACTATTTTGAAAATAGCTAGGGTTTGGGGTGGGAGGTAGGGCAGAGGGAGTGAAAGAAGGGTCTTTTAACGACAAAAAGATTGTAGATAGTATAGGGTGAAATATTCAATATTAGTTTGCACAGCAATAAGCAGTTAAATTTATTAAAATACAGAGATATCACTAATTTCACTGCATTTCTTACAAATCTTGACATTTGCTAATATTTAAATCTAAAGATAAAGCAGTGCCAGGAAAAATAATAATTTTCTCACATCATCCTGAGTTACAGCTCAGTACCTTTCCAATTCAGCAAATGCTTCTTCACCAAATGTTAAAAATACAAAAGCTTCCTACCCATGTTAGAGGCTGCTTCCATCTGAAAACTACAGTGCCCCACATATTGTATGTTAAGGGGCCGTCAATTTTGATTGATTGTTTGGGGAAGGATGAATTTGATTTTTTTTACCTCTCTCTCAGATATACATGTATTTTTCCTGTTTTCTGACAACAAGAAACAGAGCTATTTAATACTAAGATGTGGGCAATAATTACAAAGCACATCAGTTGCTTTAATTTTGCATGTCAAGTATATTCAAATTGATTTTCCTAGAAAATATATCTAAACTTTAATAAAGTATTTTGTTTTTCTAAAATACATTAAAATTAAGACTCCAGATCTTCTTTCCTTAAAATGGAAATTAAGTTTTTGAACAAAAGAACAGTCACATACATTTGATGCCTATTCCTTGAGGGACCATTAATACTCACTAAGACAACACTTCAGAGTATTTCCACTAAAGTACCCAGTGCATTCATAAACTTCACTTAATAAGAAAGTACCTAACTAAGGAATTAGAGACAGACATCAGATCTTATCTCTTACCTTAACATCTGCCTCGTTCCTCAACTGGCTTCTCAAACTTTTAAGATTAGAAATCTAAACAGTATTTTAAAAACCCACTAACCTCATATTTCCTACAGTTATGGAGTCAGAAGTTACTATAAAGCTAATAAATTTTCATATTTATTCACATCTGATGTAGAACAGAAGTGTTTTCTCCTGTCCTTCTAACTTGTTCAGTCTAGAGATCCTTTGTAAAGTGGGGCCTGATCATGGAATCTAATGTCTGAGGGTCTCTAACCATCAAGGTAGACCCAGGTAACATACACAACATGTCTATACCCTAATTGTAGAAATTTGCATAATCGTCCTTATCGACATAACATGTAAATAAGTAAGCAAAAAGCAAAAGACTACAAAAAACTAAAGACTTGTACAATAGCATGTAAAAACACCATAGAGATAGGGAGACTGAGCCTTATATTTTAAAAAATGTAAATTTGTCTTCGAAGAACTATGTTTAATAATATGTTGGAGCCTCATATGTTCTGTACTAGGACTATATGTGACATTAACATCTCATCTATTTTCTTCTTTCAAGTATCTCCTCCCTACAATATACTCTGTCCACACTCCTAGCACGCCCTCCAAACTACACCCATGCACACTCCACTAATATTGTAACTTAGATGCCCTTACACTTTAAGTAAATTATAATTTAAACAAAATTCTTACTCAAAGGGTATATTAACCACTTATAAACTGTGTGACTCTGAGTTGCTTAACTTCTCTGAATCTTAATAGTCCCATCTATAAAATGGAAGCAATAATACCTAATAGAATTAGATTGGGAGAATGAGAAATGATGGATGACACTTAAAGCAATATTAGTGCCTGAACAGAGGAGGTGTCTAACAATGGTTGTTATTATGGGAGGGGGCACAACAGTATGAACTGTGACACTGACAGGGACTGCTCACAAAACAAAACTTGAAAAGATTTTGGATGAAGAGAAATAAATATTTTATTGGGAAAAAAAAAAAGAAGACCCACAGTATTGGAACTACAATTCTCCAGGACACTGTACTAGGATTTGCTACAAAAACAGAGCTATAATGTCATCAAGTAGGGAAGAAGCTAACGGAAATTTCCAGCTGGTAAAACAATACTGTTTGTGGAGAAACAATTTTGAAACTTGCCCAAATTCTCTAGTCATGGAAAACATGAAGAAACAGTCTGCATCCTTGTTATTGACCTAATACATAGAAATAGTAACATTTCTTTTTTTCTGTTTCAGCTTTCAGTCTTCAGGTGCAAGAGAACTGGATTAATCATAATCCTTGTTTCAGACACACTATCAAAGGCTCAATTTTATTTACTTACCTAGCTCTTTAGTAGGTTATTATTAATAATGTACTAAGTACTCCCAATCCTGCCACTCACATTAACGCTAGAAAAGCAGGATTACTCTTGAACCCAGATCTTCTCACAGGCTGGCCGAGCCGGCTGCCTTTGGAGACTTAATCAATGAGAATAAGAGTCTGCTGGTTAATTGAGCCATTCAAAATTCAGAGAGTTACAGGTAATGAAAGTCTAGAATGTTTAATTGGAAAACTCATACCATGATATATTTACAGTATCAGTTAACCAAAGTACTTTTAGCTTTTAATTATTTCAATTAAGTTATTTCTAGAAGAGTTACTCAGAGAATTTCCTCATCTGTCCCATCAGTTAGAAAACATGGATTCCAAGTCGGGCAATGAATAATGGGTGAAAGACTTAACGGTTTACTAAACTGTTCTTTTCCACCATTATTCAAATTTTGAGGGAACATTTATATATAGTGGAATAATCACATCTGATATAAGGCTAGTACCGTCAAACCTAAAAGGGAAAAAGAAAATTATTTGACCAGGTGATTCACCAAGACCCACCCTCATCAGCTCATATTTTTGGAGATTTTGACAATGGAGTTCCCATTTACAAGGATTTTACATTATTTAGAAAATGCCTCCTGAAAAGATCAAGCACCAAACATTCCACCAAAATTTCTCTCCTAAAACCCCTCAGCAAATCTTAGCTTCGGTACTAGCCAAAAGCTTTCTCCTCAGCAGCAGCTTTGGCTATCATCATGAGTCAGAATTTATAAATATCCAAAATTAAAGTCATTCATTTGCCTTGGTTTAGAACCCATGTGGACCCCCAAAGAGTTCTTTAAGCAAATGTAAGTATGCACTTTAAAAACAAAAACACAATCTAGTTAGCTTAATTTACTCTAGTAAATTAGATATTTTATCTGCCATAACTATAATATAGCCTGCAATCCCCACGATAATGAATACTTCTTTGGTTTTTTCAAATTAAGAGCTAAACATCATGTTATGTGCATTTAAACCTTTGGAAAACATAACTGTTGATGAAATAGTTTACTGAAATAATCATTGTTGATTAGAATTTGTTCAACATTACCTCTTGGAAATATCTGCAGAGGCTCTATTAACTGTCCATTTACTTGCTGTTCCATTACTGTGGAATAATACTGCAAAGAGATTATAGAAAGAGATTACTCAGTAATGTATGAATACTGGAACAGACACTTATGGGTTGTTTAATTCATAGTACTTTTGCAAATTGCTAGTATATACATATCAGCCTCGAGAATATTTTTTCCCTATTTGCACATCAAAATGACTATAGCGAATATTCAGGATTGAACATACGGTACAGTGTTACCCTCCACACTGTCGTTTATCTTTAAAAGTAAAAATGTGGATTAAGACCTTAATCTAAGGTCTAATACTAATCTAATACTGGATCTCTAGAAATATTTTGAAAATGATATGTATTTGAAATGACACAAAAAGCATCTTAGTGGAAATTTCTCAAATTGCCTCTTGTTCTTTTTCCCCAAATTTTGCAAAGCAAAATGAAGACACCTCACATTTAGCTTGGATCGATATGCCAGTTAGTTAATAAAACATTCATATTTGTGTAAAAAATGCACAGATAATGGAAATCTAAGTCATAGAGACTGTGAAATGAGCAAACAAGATATGATCCATCCACAGATGACAGGATTAATATGATAAAAAGGTAGCCCACTTTCAAGCAAACATACCTTTCATGTTTTAGTCTCATAAACACTTCACATCAAATTTCACTTTAAAATTCCAGGCACAAAAAAATAAAGTTCCAAGTGTTTTCACACTCCTTCATAAACACAAATTCATTCAGTAGGTTGTATTATGGTCTGATTCCCATTTTCCTTAACATGCTAACTGGTGAGCATATGTCCGCCCAACCTGGAGATGGCTTCTGTAACCTCACTTCTTTTATCACTTGACAAACAAAAAAGTGATGTTCTTGGTGGAAAAACATCAATGATGAAAACCAGTGATTTTGTGTTTTGAGGGGCTATCACAGAGCAGAAATCCCCTTTAATCCTCGCTGTTTTTATATTAAAAACACACTCGTAACTTAACTATCACATTTTCAGGAAATTCTTCCTTGATAATTATTTGCTGACATTCTAAAAGTTTCTTTTTAGAAGATATATATACACATATCTTCCTATTGCTTTCATATACATTAAAATTATTACAAGATCAAGTTTTTTCTCTTAGAAATAATGTGGAGTTGGGGGCGGCGCAGTGGCACAGTGGTTAAGTACGCACGTTCCACTTCAGCAGCCCGGGGTTCGCCAGTTCAGATCCCGGGTGTGAACATAGCACCACTTGGCAAGCCATGCTGTGGCAGGCGTCCCACATATAAAGTAGAGGAAGATGGGCATGGATGTTAGCTCAGGGCCAGTCTTCCTCAGCAAAAAGAGGAGGATTGGCAGCAGATGTTACCTCAGGACTAATCTTCCTCCAAAAAAAAAAAAGAATGTGGAGCTATAAAATTCTACATTATCTTGGGAATCACAAGTTAACAAGTCTAAAGCTCTTGGCCCTAAAAACAAATAAAGTGAAGGTAGATTTTTTTTGTTTTTTAAAGACTGGCACCTGAGGTAATATCTGTTGCCAATCTTCTTTTTTCCTCTTCTTCTTCTTCTCCCTAATGCCCCCCAGTACATAGTTGTACATTCTAGTTGTAGGTCTTTCTGGCTCTGCTATGTGGGACACCACCTCAGCGTGGCCTGATGAGCAGAGCTAGGATCCGAACTGGTGAAACCCTGGGCCTCCAAAGCGGAGCGCACAAACTTAACCACTCAGCCCCAGGGCTGGCCCCCAAGGTAGATCTTTGATAGCTATGGACTGATATAAGTGTACCCTGCTCTCCAAAGGCTTTCAAACTGTAAAGGAAACCAATCCTCTCCTTCTATGAATGCAAAAACTTATATACATACAGCATAAACATGTGTGACATACTCTGGAATACACACTAAGGCGAATGCCTTTCAGGAGACTATGTTCCTCAAAACCACAGAAATATAGCACTCGCCATTACTCAAACAGTGATGACAAGTAAATGAAATATCAATCATGTAGGCTGTCAACCTTTTGGGACAGCAATAACTGTTAACAAGTAGTCTGGAAAAATTGTCCGAAAATGACTTGTCCTCAGCACACAAGTATTTGAGGTTTCCATGGAAAATTAAGATGCCAGTGGCTATTTGGAACATTGCTCAGGTATTCTTTTTAATGGGAAATTTGCCGGTTATTGATCCACAGCATGTACCCCCTTGCTTCTGGAAGGCTGCAAGCAACTTTCCAATCAGCAGCTGTCAAAAAAATTACTGCCTTTTTATACTGATACAAGACAACAGCAGTGGTGGTGTTCTCCTATAGTTAATGCTTTTCTTTAATTAACTGCTATGTACAAGAGGTTAGTAATTTCAGTTACTACTTTGCCACAGTCCTAGAAATGAAAATAAATAAAATACCCTTATGCTTTCTCTAACAAATTAATTATAGTTGTCTCAAACTGGAGCTTGGGGTCAAGTTTGAAAACAAATAACCTCAAATGTAAAGGGTTAGAACAGGTGCAACGCATTTTTTCCCTACTATAAAACCTTACATGCATGAAATTGACCTGTTTTCCAACATTATTTATTTACCTCACAAAATAAGTAAATAAAAATAGTTTCCCTTTCATTTCAGATATGTGCCAAATCAAATGGCAAACTGTATATGCTTTTATAATCACTGTGACAATTTTTTAGCAATCTATACAGTTCTTCGTACTATGATTAGCAGCCACAGTAATCATATTAGTATGCCACTCGCTAACGTCTCTAAAGCAAGTAGTTAAGATTTGCTTTTTTGCTCTCTCAATTCCTCCAAAGCCAAGGAACATTTTCTGTTGCTGAAATACCAGGTTTGATGTGTGTTTGTATTAACAGAGAAGCTTGTGATCCACGCAGCAAAGTAATTCACCATCAAGGAGAAGCTACGAAGGGTGGTAATTAAACCCATGGCGTGGGTCCACTCTAGGCAACTGATCTCTGACCAGCAGGCCTGTGAGGGCCGGTGGCTGCCAATGAGGCACCAGTCCCAGGAGCTCAGGCCACTGCTTACATAGCATTCCCCAAGGGACAAGGATAAAACTTGAGGCCATGTGTGATACCTCCTGGCACAGAGCAGTCCAGGTGGGCCACGAGGCCTGTGCTGCCCAGTGAGACAAGCCAGGCACTGGAGGTGTTAAAGGACTCAAACCCAGGAGTCTCAGAGCTGTCCATTTGCTAGCACACGACTCCAGGGAGGAAACACACCCTGCACCTCAGCTGACTCATTTGTAAAATGAAGATGATCTTTTACCCACAAGATTATTGTGAGACTCACATGAAGAAAAAGGTAAGACAGCACTTAATAAGCTGCAAAGCAAGTTGTTTTTAGATCTTGATCATCTCTCAGTGTTTTTATGTATTTTCCCTTTAAAGGGATTCTTTCCAATTTTGTTCTAAATAGTGATAAAATAAGCAATGATGACAAAAGCAAAACTTCTATTAAACAAAATGAAAAAACAAACAAAAACATAAATCTTGTACACCAAGATACTTAACATGGCTTGTACAGAAAAGTAACAAAGTCACCGATATAACATTAATGGAGCCAAAACTGAAGTTATCCAAATAACTTCCTTAGCTTAATCTCTATAATCTGATCCTGGCTTTCATTACCCCTAACACAAAGACCTGCACATAGTAGGTGTTCGACAGGTATTTATTGATTGAAATGAGATCCAATACTGATTTTGCTACTTAATAACTTGTGTAGCCTTCAGGAAGTCGTTTAACTTCACTGAAGCTTAGTTTCCTCCAAATGAGAGTAAAGATGCCTACTTTATTACATATGGATACTGTGAAGCTCAAAATTACACTGTAGCAATAGAATTAGGGAAGGCACTTTGTAAACTATAATGCATTAGTAGTAGATGAGAAATTAAAAAGTGGACCTCCTAATATTGAAACAATATTAACTGAGTAGAAGTGTTCTCATCATTTAAAAACACAAAGATAGTTATGTATAAAAAGTACAAAATATTGCTTTCAAACTGAATACATCACCAACAGTTATAAAATGTGTTTTCTGCTGGGATCTCTTGCAGAATCCGTTACATGCAGTAATTGCAGCAATAATCAATAAGCTGAGTAAAAGATTAATCAGTTTTGTGACTGCTAATGGAATCTCCAGTACCAGAGTCAGATTAGTTTCAGAGGCCCTCTGAGATGTTCTTCAAAATCCTTAAACAATTTTAATAAGGATGTGACAAAGTTTAGCATAGTTATCCAAAAATCTAATTAATTTGAAACAGAGGGCCAGATTCAACAAGGGGATAGCAAGTACAATTTTTGGCTCTGTTTTGTTTGCAAGTTCATCAAACAGTGTTCCTATTTGTTAGAAACCTAATTTTAATTCTAACAGCACAATTCAATCAATAATTACAAGATTTTTTTCATGGAAATCTGCCATATAAAAAACTTGAGTTCCAAAACAGCATAGTTTAATTTAAGGCACAAGTTCTCTATTAAGAGAGAGAGACAAAAAGAGAGAGAGATGCACACACACAGAAACAGCTATCACATACTGAATCCCTACTGTGCGTTGGCTCGGTACTATGTATATATGTTTATTCATTTAATTTCTCACAACCCTATCCTCTTCCACAAGTATCACTACCCCATCTCACCATACGAAGCAAATGGTTTATCAGTGAACCAAGAAAAGCACTTCTTTCATTCTAGTCCATACACTCAGAACATAAAATATATGTATACTATTTAAGAGCCAAAAGATAAGTTATCTCATATTTCTCATACCTCAAAACATTTAACTAAATAAACTGGGCTACTGGGTAGACTGCTGAGCTAGTGGAGGGTGTGGCTTCTTCACTCATACCCTGTGGGAGTTAGGCCATGTCACCTCATCTTTCAGAGACTTGGGAAGCACAGGACTGTGCAGTGCAAAGACACCTGTGCTGACGGGTGACCTCTCCCTCTTTCTTTAGCGACCCTCCTTTGGTTTTCCTCCTACCTCTCTAACCACTCTACTCAGTTTCCTCTAAGTGGTTTTTTCCCCACTCCTCCTCTAAATGCTG